CTTTCCCTTTTTTTTCCCCCAGGTTCTCTACTATCACTGTTTCCATCTTTCTGGTTCCCTAGCCTCATCTTCCCCCGCTGTGTAGGCATTTTGAAAAGTAAATACGAGGTCAAATATAAGGTATTCTTATCTCAGACTTCTTGGTGGAACTTGTTGCCCAGAATTTACCATAAAGGCTTATCTAGTCCTTCTCTTGAAAGTCATCTGGGCACTGCTCTGGGGGTGACATTTGAGGATAATTATGGGCAGAACTGAAAACCATGGGAGCTTGCAGTTATGCCCAATTCCTGTTCATGGGTTCTAGGATTTGTTAGAAATAAATAATCCTTTTTATTTAACATGTTTCATTTTAAACAAATACTACCGGTATTAGCAAGCATCACTGAACACTGATTACATGCCAGGCACTAACGGGGTCGTGTTAACTAACTACTTTATATGCATTATTCTTTCAGTTCTCCTAATGAAAGAATGGTACTATTACTACTGCTACTTCAGATAAAAGGAAAATGGGGTGGTAGAGGTTAACTAACTTTGCCTAAGGACTCAAAACTAGGAAGAGAACTAGCAAACTAACTAGCAAACTAGAACCCTCAGCAAAACTAATCTCCCAACAGAGAATGCCCTTTCACCTCCATGCCTCCAGCCCCACAGCCCTGTCCTCCCTCAGAACACCTGCTCAACAATATTCTTCTCCCAGGTTCTCCTCTGTCAGCTCCTGCTGGCCAGCCCTTTGCTCCCCAGCCTGGAATACCGCACTGGCTATGACCCGCTATCCCAGTTCATGTCATGCTGGTGTTTACCCATTTTGGTTCTTCAGACAATGTTTTCCTCATCTTGATCCCTTGATGTTTCAGGAGACTGCAAGTTCCTGGACGCTAGGGGCTTTCTTTTCAACTCCCCACAACACACGTACTCAGCATACAAGCAGGGCCTCAGCAGGGCCTAGCTGAGTGGGGGCTGTGATGTCATTAATGACAGGAGAGTCTCTTAGTCTTTTCATTGCCCCAAGGAGGCGCAGACAACTCACTGCTCACTGAAAAGGTGGGCCACGGCAGGCTGGCAACGAAGTAAGAATGAAAATGGCTCGCATTTATTGAGCGCTTACCAGGTTAGATGCCACCTTATGCCGTAGGTGTACTGACTCCGTGAGTCAGGTACCATGGATAGGATGTAATCAGCACGCAGGCTCTTCCTAAGTCTCAGTGGAGAGACTGCAGAGTCCATCTCCCTTCTCTCTAAATTGACAGCCTTCTGTAGTCATGTGTTACACCTGCAGCATTTAGCCACCTCTTATATCTGAGCATATCTGTGTTTCCCACCTATTTCTACACTCCTGGAAGAACGTATTGACTCCTCTCATAGGGCTCCATTATAACTTTCACACAGTGATCAATAAATGAACATAATGGATGAAGACCTTGGGAGATCAAAAGTCATTTGTTGTACACAGACAAAAAAAATCTAGACTTCATTTTATTACATTTCAAGCCTTACTTTAAACCATGAAGAAGTCACTTACATTTAAATTAGTGCAGATTATGCTTTCTGGGTTCATAATTTGAGAAAAAATGGATATAGCTTTTGCCAGCTGGTTCTAGAAGGAAGAAAAACAAGTCATACCCCCAAGGCATATAAACATTACTCTGTTATCATAAAGATCATTTAAGATGTCAGGATAGTCCTATTCATGGTGCCCCAGGGTTCTGAAGTACACAAATGGTAATCAAAAATGGACATTCTATAAAGTGTTTCCTACAGTGGCATATTACTGAATGTTTTCACAACCTGCCTGAGTTCCACGTTCTAAGATGGGGGCATAAAGTTGGCATTTCCCCTTCTCTCACTGGAATGAGCTTTCAAAAAAAAACAAGGTTGAGAAATAGAAATGCACACCCATCTTTGACATAATTAGAACATAGCAGAAACCTCAAACCACAGAAGAAATCTGCATTGCCAAAAACACTGGAGATGGAGCATATGTGAGTTCCAGACAGTAAGCAGTAAGAGGAGGACATTGCTGCATATCTCAGAAGGAGTGCACAAAGTAGTTCTCAAAGGTGAGGGCACAGCCTGAAGTACTAAATTCCTGTTTACAATGATGATGATAGAGTTTAGGACTAGTAATGAGGTCTTTGGATCCTTTTGGTGGCAGAGGTGAGGCTAATCAAGAATTTACACAGATCAGCCATACTTGCAGGAAACAATATGTCACTTATAGCAGCATCAGAGAAGAGACTTTTCACTGAAAATCACCTACATGCCTACTCCCATTGGCCAGGAAGAAATAGAGCCAATGCATATTTGTAGACAAAACTCAGATATAAAGAAAACTCCTGCTAGCCTGGAACATGGCAACATGGCGCTATTCTCTTCTGACATGAATCTTCTGCAAGTGGCTGGTCTAAGCATCTTTCAGTGATGAATAACCAAAAAAGAACCAGCATGTAAACGATATAAAGACATTATGAGGAAAAAAGAAAAAAAGGATTACAGCAAGAAAAAAAAAAAAGAAAAGAAAAGAACTGGCTGATAAAGAACTCCCAAAGGAAAAATGTTTCCATGGATATGAGGGGCAGAAAAGAGAAAAACTAACAAGATCAAGTCACTCAGAAGTGGAAAAAAAAAAAAAAAAATTCAGGCAGGCCTCAGATTTCTCCATAGCAACATTCCATACTAGAAGACAGAAAAACAATGCCAAAGAAAACCTCAAGTAAAGCAAATATCACCTCACAATTTTATATCTGGCCAAACTGTAGTTTAGGTTTTTAAAAAAAAAAAAAGGGCAAATAATTTTAAATACCAAGAACTCAAGGAGTACTGTTCCCCTGAGGAATTTACTAGAACACACTTCGGAGAGCCTTAAATTAAAACCATTCCCTGAGCACGTTACTTGGTAAACGAATCATTTGAAATTTCCACTTTAATTATTTGAGAAATTTCTCTGAGTACAGCCTCCCTCATTGATTTTCCATAGGATCCTGGCCAGCCCTGTGTAAACAGCAGTGCATGTTAGGCCCTCAACTGTAAATGAAAACATTCTTTGGAGGCAGAGGTATAGATGTAGGTTGCCATGGCACCAAAGGCATTGGTCTCTTTATGGGAACTTTTTCTTTATGACAGAGTCAGAGGAAAAAAAGATAAAATAAAAGCAAGAACAAATGAAAGCAGTAAAGTCTTGCCTACTCCTAATTCACTTATGTGCACCCCAAAGCCTTACCTGGTTCAGAGCTAATGCCACTGCAAAACAGGATGCTCTCCTGCAGAGGATTTCTCCCTTGATGAGGGCTTCTTCTCTTAACGTGGTACAGATTGTAAAAGATTCAGGGCTATTCTGGGGGAAGACAGGATTGCTCAATAAATAAATGTCACAAACCTTTAGGTTAATAAGATGATTAATGGTGCCCAGTGTTTCAGATTTCCTTTTGGAAGAATTTCCTGGAGCCTATCTCAAGCCACTTAAAAGATTAAGTTCCATATAGAGACTATTTGCAAATAGACTCAGTTATCTATATGCTAGCGGCTCAAATCTTAAATGAACTTTATTTTTAGCTCTTTGTCGGTTTTCTGACTTGGGGCAGCTTTACCCACAAACATACAGGTCTCTTTTCATCCAGGCAGGCTGGTTTCAAGACATAGGTACCATAACATACACGTGTGAACAGTCAGTGTGCTACTACCGTATTAAATGATAAGAGTAAAGCTTAGCAACACCACAGAACTTTTCCTTAGGGGGTTTCCAATCTGAAAATATCCGTGTTAAGTCAAATGTTTGAAAACATGAAAACATACCTGAATGGAAATCATGAAAGAATCCCATAAAACCAGATACCTTAAAACAAAAACCAACAAAAAAACCACACACACCAGGAAGATGAGTGATATACAAAGTAGCAGACAGCAGCGGCAAGACAGAATTCTCTTCCTTTATCTATGTTGTAGGTGGGTTAGGTTTACAAGAGCAGCATTAGTTCTGTATCTGTCTGTCATGGCGTGATTCGTTACTCAAATCCTAAAGGAAAACCTGAATTTAATGAGAAGGGACGGTTCCCAGAATTGGCTTGGAATTTGTAACAGCTGACCAGTTCAGTTTTTCAACTCCAGTCTCCACTGAGTGAAACAAGTTATTTTTGAACACAATATAGGGCAGCGGTCCCCACCCTTTTTGGCACCAGGGACAGGTTTCGTGGAAGACAGCTGTTCCATGGAGCTGGGGGTGGGGGTGGGGATGGGACAGGCGGTAATGTGAGCAGTGGGGAGCGGTGGGGAGCGGCAGGTGAAGCTTTGCTTGTTTGCCCACCGCTCACCTCCTGCTGTGTGGCCCGGTTCCTAACAGGCCGCGGACTGCCACCAGTCCGCGGCCTGGGGGTTGGGGACCCGATATAGGGGAGAAAAGTCCTCTGGCCCTTTGTAAGTAGTAGAGTTAAATTCTCTCCACTTCAGTATACGCTCAGGGAGACATCTCTAAGAAGGTCAGGAAACTGTGTATCACAGTGCTGAAGAACCAATGCTCAAGTGTGTGTCATGTTGGCCTCTGTTCACAGAATCATAAAGTGGCAGGATTGGAAAGGATCATCTAGTAATCCAGCGGTCAGCAAACTACGACCCTGGGGCCAAAGCCAGCCTATGGCTAAAAATGGTTCTTAGATTTTTAAAGATTTGTAAAAACAAAGAAGATGTGCCTAGGACCGTAAGTGGCCCCCAAAGCCTAAAATATTAACTATCTGGCCTTTTATAGAAAAAGCTTGCTGGCTCCTGAATCCAAACGCTTCATTTCACAAATGAGGTAAGTGACCACTTCAAAGCCAGTTCATGTTAAGTTGAGACTAGACTCCACATTTCTCAATTTCCAAGTTGGTTTCTTCCCCCTGTAACCCAACTGCCCCTCTTGTTTTGGAAAACTGGTATCGCTATGCTTTTCAGGGAAATTTTTCAATAGCCACGTTCTACCTTACTTAGTGTTCCTTCATTTTCAGTATAAAAAGGTTTTGTTAAGTTTCCAGTGTTAAAACGGCATGAATGTGTACAGTAATGCATGGAATCTTGGTCACTGTACTATTTCAGTTACCATTTATGCATTCAATAAGTGATAAAGAAACAGTCTATGTGCAAGAAACAATCCTGATAGAGTAATGAGACAGGGATTTATAAGTCATGCTCTCTATTCTCAAAGAACTCATTTTTTAATGTCACATAGATTTATTAAAGATCACTTGTGAACCAGGCACTGTTAGGTGCTGGCAAATAAAGATGCCTCAAGGAGTTTACCCTCTAGTGGGGAGGATGAAATGTGCATCCACTTAGTAGATCAGGCAGTGTTATAAGTGCCATGTCTGTGAATACAAATAGATCACAATCAAGGGATACTGAAGGACAGAGGGAACACTTCCAACTTAGGTGATCACAGAAAAATTCACAGATGAGGACAAAGTAGCCCTTGAGTTCACCAGTGAAGGATGCTAAGACTTCCATGGGAGAGGGCCACAGAGAAGACTGGTCTGGTGAGGTCCAGCAAGAGAAAGAGGCCTCTAAAGCAGAGTTTGAACCCAGCATGCTGTTTCTTGTTCTCATTATCTACACAAATGCCAGAAAAGATGGAAAGATGATAAAATTGCCTTTCCCATGATAAAACTGTCTGACATGGCTAACTTGGATTTTCCAAAAATGAACATATTTAAAATGGAAATATCTGCACCAGATGGAAAACAGACTTCAGGGGAACTGAATTTTATTTGTAGAGAAAAAAATAATAAATCCTCTCTCAAACATTACCCAAAATGCTCTAAAAGTTTAGGGAAGACAGTCTTACCAGTTTGTAGCAAATTGCAAAAGCAAGGACGTAAGTATCTTTGTTGAACTTCACATCTTGGTTTTTCATCTCAATCAGTACTTCCAATGCACCTGTCAAAAGCCAGGAGTGGGCCGGCAGTGTTAAATGCATTCAAGTGAGTTCAGAGTCCTCTACTATTGATTCCCAGAGTTCAATCTGTTTAGCTCCATCTACTGAAAAGTATACTTCAGCACAATAAAAACTTTCAAAGTCATTTATCAATTAACTAAATTTCAAAATAAATTATCAGGTCATACAGGAAGAACTAGTATTTTAAAACCTATTATAATTGCAGCATAAGTAAAATCTGGGGTGTTTAAGTCATGATGTGATGCAGTAATGTTTTCACACTTAAAGAATGGGGTCTCCACAGTTCAGCCACTCATCAGGAATATAAAGATCATTTTTAAATAGTCCATTGTTTTTCCTAATTTTACATAGTCCATTGTTTTTCAGCAAACATAAATTGTGATACTTACTTTTATATTTACCTTTGATAAACAACATATCCATCAAAATATTGAATGATGTGGAGTCTGAGAAGAAACCCCATAGATGCTAATGAAGAAAAACAATATAGTTTGGTTAAAAGGTAAAACTATTAAGGGAGTACTTATACTGCATCTTCTCTGTCTAGGACTGTCTACATATTTTATTCATTTAGCAAAAAAATTTAAATGGTGCCCACTCTTTTGGGGTCATGCCTTTAGCAACGGGCACAGTGGACAAGAGGCAAAAGATACGGCAAGAGATCTCTAGGTTTCAGAAATACAGTGAAGGACGTCTTTATGCAATGGGCTCTGCCAAGCTTAGAAGAAAAGAAGCAAGCCAGTTAGCCCTCCTGGGGGTTGTCTTGGAACCTGGGTGCAGAAGATTAACACGAAGTGGCAGCTATAAGTATGCTTGAGGGCTAAGGTGGGAGAGGCTTACACAACTATGATCCTCTTTTGGCAAACGAATAATAGTTGATTATTCACTTTTTGAAATAACTCACTAAAACAGTGGTTCTCAACATTTTTAATGGGATGATAATGTGACACATGCTATTCAAATACACCATTAAATGTCTTGTGCAAGTCTGTTATTTTTCTTGAGACCCTATTAGGCAGACCCTATTCTAGGTGTTAAGAATAAAGAAATGATGAACAAGACAAAGGCCCTGCCCTAAACTCTAGTAGGGCTTATAATCTAGGAGAGCTTAAATTCTGGCAGAGGAGACAATGAACAAGTGAATAAAACAAGCGGAAAAAATAAAAATATAATTTCAAGTATCAATAAGGGCTATGAAGAACAATGAAACAGGATAAAGGGAACAGAGAAGATGATGGAAGGTGGTCAGGGAAGGCTCTCTGAGAAGAGGAGACCTCAATGAAGTGATGCAGATGTACAGCACTCCAGTCTGAGGCCAGAGGCCTGGTTGTCTGAGAGGAAACCAGAAGGTCCAGAGTGGAGTAAGCAAGAGGGAGAGTGGCAGGAGATGAACTACCACAACGGGACCTTGAGGGCATGGTCAGGGGTCTGAGTTCTATGCTAAGTGGGATGGGAAGCCTCCAGAGCAGCCCCGTCCATAGGGAGAGACTGCAAGCCTCAAGTGTGAGCCATGTATGTGACTCTAAATTTTCAAGTAGTTTCATTTAAAAAAGTAAAAAGAAAGATGTGAAATCAGTTTTAATATGTTACTTAACCCACTAAATCCAAAATTTCAACATGTAATCAATATAAAACATTATTAATAAGATACTTTACATTCTCCTTTTTATGCCAGGTATTTAAAATCCATCATGTATTTTACACTACAGCCCATGTAAATCTGAACTAGCTGCAGTCCAAGGCCTCCAAGGGTACAGGGGGATAGTGGCTACCATACTTCTGGGCAGGGGACACGACAAGGTAAGGTGGAAGCAGGATTAGGCTTTATGGCACTTGACACTTATTCAGTTTATTCTACAACTCCAGAAAACATACATACATGAATGCTTCATGCTCAGGTAGGTTAAAAAAAACAAAACCCAAAAACCTTTACCCTCATTTTCTTTCTTTTTGTTTCTTTTTATCATTATACTCATGGCTATGATTTATTACAATGAAACGTTTGTTTTCTTTTAATTATAACATTAACATATGCTTATTACAAAATAGTCAAACAATACAAAAGTATATACAGTAAAAAGTGAGGATTTCCTCTAATTCTAGCCCCTGAAGATAAGCAGTAGTTTAGTGTATATCCTTCTAGATTTTTAAAACATATATGCTATAATGTAAATATGTATGTATATTTCTTCTTTTAGGAAAAAATAGGCTCAAACTAATCCATACTGTTCTGAAACCACCTTTTCTCTGCTTACTAATATATTATGGTCATCTTTCTAATACCTAGGGTCGTTAAAAGAGGGGCAAGGTGAGAGTTAACAGTTCCTCCATGGATACAACACTTTATATGAAAAAAAGTAAGAGGCAAAAGGACAACTTACCTATGGAGATTCTTAAAAATATTAAAATGTCCCAGGGGGCCAGCCCTGGCCCCAAAATTTAATAAATGTTTCTGACCATGGATGAATTTATAATGTCTCTGAGTCCCCGTTTCCTCATCTGTAAAATGGAAATAATAATAGTACCTACCTCGCCAGGGCTATTGTGGGAAACAAATGAAATGAAACATGTATAATGCTTAAGCATGATGCTGCGAACTTGGTAAATATTCAATGAATAATTACAAAACTAATTATTGTTACTTTTGCTTTTAGGAAAATAAAATCAGAATATGTGAAAAGCAGAAATTCTGAAAACAGAAAAGCACTTTACAACATAGCCTTCAACCAGAAGTAAAAATACGAAAACAGGAGAGAGGCACAGGTGAAGAATAGGAAAGGCAGTCTTAAAATGGCAGCCTGCCTCAAACTATCCCCTACTAAAAGCTCCTCAAAAGAGAAGATGTCAGTCCCAGGTGGACACACATCCAAGGTAGGTAGATACCTTGTAATCTGTACTTACACCTCTTCCACACCTCTGTATAAAGAGACCTATGCCTCTTCATAGGCAGTGACTCCAAGGAAACCTTAAAAATCCAGGGAAGAGCTCATTCCCTCAACCCAGCAGCCTTTCTCTGAAAATCGAACCCAGGAATAATGTGTATAGAAGAGCTGCCCTTCCTAACATCACCGAAAACACCCCATCCTCAGCGCAAGGAAGTCACCATGGCAGGGAAGGCAATTGGGAGACAGTAACCTGGTCTTTGATGAGCTCCACTGCAGATTCCTCGAGATCCAACTCGTAGCACAACCTCATGAAAAGTGGTCCAAACTTGTACTCCCCCAAAGTGATATTCCTGTTCTCTGCATGGTACCTGGTAATCAAAATAATTCAATGAGCCAAACAGTGGGACCTGAGGAAAGACAGACCGTGGCATGCACTCTACTAGGTGTTGGGGACACAGCAAAGAATGAGGTCCTCTCATAGTCTAGAGGGGAAAGTGCAGAATTAAAGATGACCAGAAGAATCCTGGCAAGCAGAAGTATACTAGGCATTTAAATAAACAAACAAGGTCGTTAGAGGCCCACATACTCTGAAATAAAAGAAAGTAAAAATGCAGATTGTAATCATCTCAATTTACCAACAACCTGCTAAGACTGAATGTGAGCATATGTCAGGGAATAGCAGGGGTCTTGTATCTGTAAGCCCAGCAGAATGGACTGTCTCCTTCCATGCTCCTGGAGAAGAGCAAGGAAAGGAGTGGGGTGATGCTGTGTCCCCCTCAAGTCTGGCTTTATCCCCATATGGGATGGCAAATGACCAATAGGTGCATTTTACAATTTAGACCAATTTCTCTGTTTTTCTTGGCTAAGGGAAAGGTATATGTGAACTACAATCACCTAGCCAAACAAATTAAATGCAGCTTTGAAATTTTAGTTTTAGAAAAAGGCTAGTTTCAAAGACAGTGATGTTTTATATGTATATGGCTTGGGATTTCTACAAGCAACCAGTATGCCAGTTAGAACTGCAGAACTGAAAATCGCGCCCATAAATTTCCTTTCAATAACCAACTCTTTCTGCTTTAGACACCGAGAAGACAATCTGGTGACAAAACAAGTACCTCATGATTGCATGTAAATCAGATTTTAGGAAGCTCTGATTTTAAAGAACAGAATATTCTTTTACCTTCTGCTAAAATCACTGAGGAAAGTCATAATAGCATATGGATAGTCTATTTTAAACATATATACTGCCAAAAAGAATGATGAGTGTACTTTTAAAGATACATTTCATAATCCAGTTATAAAAGTTACAAAAAAATTCACTGCTTCATTTATAACAGTTATGAATTAACTTATTATATCAAAATATCAAGTTGTATATCTTAAAGATATACAATTTTTATTTGTTAATTATACCTCAATAAAGCTGGAGGGAAGAAGAAATAATTAAGTTATTAAAAGGCAAATATAGTGTCGTGATTAAGGATTTTTAGACTCTGATTCCAAAATGACAGTTCAAATCCCAGCTGTTTTACTTACTAACTGTGTAACCATGAGCAAATTAATTAATGACTCTGTACCTCAGTTTCCTCATCTGTAAAATGGAGATAAGAACTCAACTCAGAGTTTTTGTGAGGATCAAATGAGATGATATGCCTAGCACACAGTAAGCCTTACACATATGCTCCCTCTTATACAATGTAAGGCACGCTGAGGAGAACATCTTTAAAAATCAAAGTATTTCAGTAAATAATCTCAAGAGAAATGTGTGCCAGATTAAAAACAAAAATGAACATTTTCCTAACTTAAATGATATTCACACTAATAAAAGTGCTAGAAAGTCACAGAGATAGTTAATATCACCTCTTCTTGACAAGAAACATTCAAGTTAGAGGCTCTAAAACCCTTCTATAAACCAAACAACAGCATGTGGTCCAGACTATGAGGAGATTCAGTTGTTCCCCATTTTTGGCTCAATAAAGAGCTTATGTTCCGGCTCGTTGCTCTTTTTCCCCAACGGGGGACCGCCTGTCTCAGGAAGAGAGAGAACAGGTTGGTTAGGCCGAGGATCGACTGCCCCCGCCAGCTTGTCCAGCTGTCCACAAGTAGAGGGAAAGGACAGCAACCAGGCAGAAAGTATTAGCATCAATAAAGGGATTCTGAGTCATACTTTGAATGTTTATGACAAAAATAAGAGTGGAAGGAGTATTTAGAATATTATCCTGTTTTGTTACTCTTGTAAACATCTGATAGCTTTGGGTAGTAAAAAGAAAACAGAGTAAAACGAGCCAGAGGGTCTCAAATGATTCAACTGTATGAAACTGAAATAGCAGGTTTAGGTTTGCCGATATAGTGTGACTGTGAATTAGCATAATCCCTTTTGGAAAATAGTCTGGCAGTCTGTATTGACAAGCTTTAAAAGGTGCATGCCCTCCGATCCCCAAAAGGAAATAAAGAATAAATTTTATGCATAGAGCTTGCTCATCATGGCATTATTTATCCTGGTGAAAAATTAGAAATAATTTAGATGTTCAACAATAGGGGCACAGTTAATTAAAATACCTAACCTATAATCAAACAGTGTATAGCCATTAAAATATGATTCCTAGAGTATTAACAGGCAAAAACATTTATGCTACAATGCTAATTAGAAAACAAGAAAATACCATTTTATATACACAGTAATAACTACAACTATGTAAAATAAACCCTACCTAAACCTCAAAATCTTTGCATGAAAAAATATCAGTGAGAAAATATATCAAAATATTAACAGTGGTTTCTTGGATGTGGTAGACAGGCCCCAAAGTTGGCCGCCATCATTCCTTCCTGTATGTGCACGCGGCTCCGTCCTTCCAGCGGTGGAATCCTTTCCCCTCCCCGTGGATCAGGGCTGGCCGCTAACTCGCCCTGACCAAGAGAATGGGACGGGAGTGAAGACGTGCCAATCCTCGGCAGCTCCACAAGGCCTGCAGCTTCCACGTGTGCTGTGCGCTAGCGCAGCTCAGGCTGGACTCGCGAGCAGTGAGATTCTACCAGCGGGGGGAGGGGCTGCATGCAGGGGCACTGAGGCTTCAGAAACGCAAGCGAAGCCTTCTTGGACCTCCCGGCTCAGCCTACCAAGCTGACTGTAGGTGTGCAGGTGACTTCAGCCGCTAACAATAAGAACTGCCCAGCTGAGACCGGCCTCAGTTCCTGACCAACAGAGTTATGAGAAATAATGATCAGTCGTCATTTTAAGTCATTAAGTTCTGGTGTGGTTTGTTATGCAGCAAGAGACAATCGAAACAGCAAACTGTGTGATGTATGCAGTATTTCTTTCTACTTTTTCGTGTTTTTCAAAGTTTCAATGAAATTTGCGTAATTCTGTTTTTCTTTTCCTTTTTAAAAATAACATTAATTTTTTCAATTATAAAATTAATAATGTCCCTTATAGAGAAGTTTGAGAAATCAGAAAAGTACACATTTAGACGAACAAAAAATATAATGTTTCAAAGAACCATGGTTAACATACGGTATGTATTCTTCCAGTATTCCATATATGAATACCTCGTATTTTTCTCTGTAAATGTACAGTATAAATGCAGGTTCATGTATAGAAATGTATCTTTAAAGAATGGTGAAAGGAAGCTGTTGATTTGGTGCCATCCTGCTCCCAAGTGACACCTTTGCTCGGTTTCCTAACAGCAGACTGTGATTACATATGAGTTCTTTCTGGCATGGGGAAGTCTGATAAGGGATCAGAGACAGTGAACGTAACAGGCATAAGCCTGCTGCGGGGAGGCTAGTTCAGAGTCCACTGAAGTGATCCAAGTGAGAGGTGTGAGGCCTGAGCTAAGACACTGGTAACGGGGACAGAGAGAGGAAGGCTAGGGATGAGAGACACCGTGGAGCAGACGCAGGAGGAGGGCAAATGAGATCGGGGGAAAGAATGACTGGTCAGTGTGACAGCAAACACGGCAAGAGGAAGAAATCTGTGTAAGCTGAATGTGAAGACCTTGGGAACATGTAAGTGGACCTGGTGAAGAGGTTGGTGATCTCCTGGGGCATGAATTATCTGTTTTTCTATCTTCGGCACCTGGCATGTAGTAGGAACCCAATAAGTGTTCACTGAATGAATGAATGAATATAAATGGTGGCGCTCAGGGCAGGCATCTGGACAAGAGATTGGGAAGTCACCAGTTTAGAGGTGAGAGCTGAAATCTTGGAGGTAGATGAGATTGCTCAGGAAAAAGGAGAGAGTAGGAAAAGACAAAGGCTGGCAGGATTTTAAGGAAATGCCTCACCTGTAAATGACATTTTTAGCCAGCTCCACATCGTCCCAGGACTCACACAAATGAAGTAAGGTTCTCAACTCCTCTTTCAAGATGAGCTTACTCTGGGTCAGTTTCTCTTCCAAGTTTCTCAAATAGGTTTCTGGAAGAAAGCACAGTGTAGTGGTCATCACTTTGGCTGTCTCAGACCGTCAGGAGGCTGACCTCAGGGAGAAGGGGAGGCTAGAACCTGGCACGATGCAAAGAGCCACTGAGGGGGGCTCACGGCCATGCAGCTCCCATCACTGGCTAGTCTCGAGAGCAGAGTGTCAGACGTGGTGTATGAAGCAGCGAATCTGTCACAGGGCCCAGGTCCAGACCTCACTCCAGACTTCCCAACACAGAATCTCTGGGAGCAGGAGCACAAGAATGTGCATTTTTGATTACCTGGGTGATGCTTATGCACCGTAAAGTTTGAGAACTAACGTCCCAGAAGCTTAGCCCAAAGAACTGTATCTACAGGTGACCCATGAGAAAAAGAAAGTAACCAAGATATCCAAACCATCAGTTGTCAGGGCACCTAGCAGGAAAACTGAAAGGAAAATGTCATCAACCCACAATGGATGACTCACATGATTCAGGAATACTTCACATCTTTTTCACTTGATTCAGTTTTACCACTTTTTCATTCCTCCTGGTCCCTCTCTACTCAGTTGTTAGAAAGCATGCCACAGTACTGCATAATGCACAGGGGGTAAAAGAGTCCTCCAAACAGCAGCAAACCCTCTTTTACTAATAGATTCATTTTAAGGTGATCACGGTCTATGTCCCTTGTCTTGTATCTGATCAACTGTGGAGACAATCAAACACCAACAGGAAACACTGCTTCTTGGCATTAGGAAGGGACTGTATTTTTGGCAGGATGTAGGGTGAGATGCAAGGCAGCCACCAAGCAAACGTCTGCTTTCCAGAAGACAGGGCTATTCTCAGTATCACAAGCTGCGAAAGTCTACAGGATTTGTTCCAAGGCCCAGAGCTCCGAAGGAATGCTGCTTAAAGGAATGGCACAATATACATTAAAAACACAAGATCGGGAAGCTGAGGCAGACACTGCTCTTGATTTACAAGAAAAGAAGGTCCACTAGGTTTGAATTAATGCAATGGACCCTCCAATCTCTATTTGCAGAATCGTGTAATGGTTAAAGGTTTTAGAGTTGGGAAGACATGGGCTGAAATCTGGGCTCTGCCACTTGCATGCTATGGGGAGATCTGGGGAGGCCTGTCTCTGAGACAGGATTCATGTGTGAAGTGAGGACCATGATACCTACCTCGTGGGGTCATCCTGAGATAATGTACGTAAAGCACTTAGCACAGGGCCCAGCATGTAGTAACTGACAGGAGATCACAGACATATTGTTCTTATTTTCATTCCTCTGTCACGAGGATTTATTCTATGAAATATTTCTAAACAGTTTCCAACCTAAAAGACTTTAATGGGATGTCTTTTTATCTTGTACTTCTTAATACTTAATAAGTCCAAAATTTCAACAGATGTAATGTGTATTTTAAAACAAATCAATCAAAATTAAGTGCTTATTGTATATTATAGTCAGAGGTATCCTTCTTTTTGTGAGAGACACAAGGAAGGATAAGGTATGGTTCCTACCCTGAAAGAGCTTAGAGTCTATTTGAGAAGACAAGATATATTTATGTAAAGCTACCTGAAAATAATGACAGAGTAGGTGACATGTGACAGTATAAACATAACAGGAGAGAAGAGAGAAATTAGGGCAGCAGAAACAGATCAGGTCTGGTGGAAGTGGAGAGGTACCAGAGAGGAAGGAAGGGGCTGGGTAGGGTTGGCAAAGCTGAGGGGGTGGGGAACTGTCGGTATGGGAATCAGCATGAGAAAAAGCACAGAACTGGGGGAAAAGGTGGTGAGGTGAGACCGTGACTAGATTAACAGGAAATCACACTGGTTCTAGAAAGGGTGAGATCCGCTGTGGAAGAGCTAGGAAGCTGGAGGGAAGGGACAAGTTTGTACATGATGTGGTATATAACAGAGTACCACTGTGGGTTCTTATAATGATGAAATGTGGACAGGATTTTATAAATACCTGACAGTGGAGTAGATTGGCACTCATTATATTAATTGCCTTTCAGAACATATGCACGACTGTCACAGCCTTAGAAATATGACAACTGGAATAACAACTAGATAGTGACACGAAGCCCTAACTGCGAACTTCACAGAGCTCCAGATGACCTGGGGTAAGAAGAAAAGACTGATGTAAAATCTAGATTGAGTCTACTAAAGTGGAGATTAATCTATTTTCAGTCACTCTTATCTTCTTGTTCTGTAGGTGGTTTTGTACAACAGCATGATAGCGGACCAGTGAAGGAAGACTACTTTCTGGAGAGATGAGAAGCAAGGAGTGTTCATTAGGTGCTCACAAACATCTGACAGTGAGAAGGAGGAAAGCTGGAAAAGTAAGTAGGACAAACAAGAGTTGTTATTAAAAAAGAGGAGAGCCTTGCTGTGTTTATAAAGGAATCTGAAGTACTGGGAAAAAACTCAACGTGCAGGAGAAGTGGGAATGCATGCAACAAGATTTCTCAGATGCTGAAAGGGAATAGGACCTAGGGTGGTGGTGCCGTGTTTTTAGCTTTTTACAATAAAAATTTTCACACATACCTACAAGTAGAGAGAACAGTAAAATCACCTCCCACGTGCCCATCACCCAGCCTCAACAGTTATCAATGTTTTGCTGGTTTTTTAAAGAAACCTTTGTTTTAGTCTACTGATTCTTCCAGCACACAGTAGAAAATATGAAAATGCATCATCATACATTTTTTGTTTCATTTTATCTCATTTATCTAAAGATATGTATGTGTATACCGGAGATGCAATGCAAATTGTATTTTTTACTGAGGGTGGCATCAAGAAGTCTGAAAGCCAGTCATGTGGAGCAGTTCTTCTCAGACTTTATTTTTTATTTTTATTTTATTTTTTTTGCGGTACGCGGGCCTCTCACTGTTGTGGCCTCTCCCGTTGCAGAGCACAGGCTCCAGACGCGCAGGCTCAGCGGCCATGGCTCATGGGCCCAGCCGCTCTGTGGCATGTGGGATCCTCCCGGACCGGGGCACGAACCCGTGTCCCCTGCATCAGCAGGTGGACTGTCAACCACTGCGCCACCAGGGAAGCCCTCAGACTTTATTTTACAGACAAATTGTCTGGGGCCCGAGATTTGGCATTTCTATCCACCTCTCACTTGCTGCTAATCCTTGAACCTCACTTTGAGTGGCACTGATCTAGAGGACTGGTTGCAGCACTAGTTTTAGTATTTCTCTGGGGTCCTGGGAGAAGGGACAAGAGAAGAGCGG